ATTAAATTATTAATTATTAAATTATCTAAATGCCACTTCAGATGCAGCTCCTGTGTTTCCTCTGCATTGCAAAGATGGCATCAAATCAAATCAAATCTGTATGTGTGTGAAAATATTCAGGTGTAACCCCTTTTGTAATCGTTAGCATTTTCATAAGTAACTAATTTAATTACACATTTTACAGATTAGTTACATTTATTTTGTAATTAAATTACGTAATTCCGTTTACAATTCAAAGCACACCTACAGAGTGCGCACATACATTAACGTGTGTTACAGTGCGTTCTTTCACTGCATAATTCAGTGTATTAAAATACATTTAGAATGATCTCAATGTATATACAGTGGGTACGGAAAGTATTCAGACCCTGTGAGGCAATTTGTCCAAACCGTAGTAATACGCCGATCTACCTCAGAATAACTTATCATTTAACCCTTTGTGTACTGTGTGCGTGTGTCCACAGACAGGTGTGTTTGTTCCTGAAGCGAGGAGCCTCTCAGGTGGAGGTCGACAAGGACGGGCAGGACCCTCTTAGCATCGCTGTTCAGGCAGCCAACGCGGACATCGTCACACTGTGAGTCAAGAACTTCACTTCCTTTTGTAGATTCCCCCAGAGTGCCACTGCACATGAAAGCCAATGTTTTTGTTCTCTCTCTCTCGGTCAGATTGCGGTTAGCCCGGATGAACGAGGAGATGCGCGAAGCGGACGGGCCCTTCGGACAGCCAGGTCAATACCCCAGCAGTAGTCCCACAGAGCAGCAGTATAGAAAGTGTATTCAGGAGTTTATCTGCCTCTCGATTGACGAATGCTAGGGGGCGCTCTCGAGCACTGACAGACTGTGAGGAGAACTACCTACTAAGTTTGTAGTCCTTAACAGGAATAGCTTTAGCAAGGATCGAGTGCTATCTTTAACCTCCTCCCCACCTGACCAATTAGTTTACACGTTGTGTTCGTATGTATGTATGTGGTTAATACAAAATATTGAAATGGAATGGCTATTTACGGTATGCGGTGGCTAGAACGTTGCTGTTTTGAATTGTGTATCATTCAAACATGACGTTAAATGCGGACTAATCTAATTTGTTTCAACGAATTTGAATTCATTAGCAATTCAAAACAGCATTTCCGAGTGTTTGAGTCATTATGTGCAAAATATGACTGCACACTTTTCCTACCGACAGTATTTTTTTTTACGACTGAGTTCTTTTCTTTTTATGTCATTTTGCGTCATGTAAAAGTTGTTTGTTGTGCTTTTTATTTATGTTCCGTCCTGAGGATTAGTGCAATGATAACTGGAATACGGAAATCTGTATCCATGTACATTTTCTCGTTTAGTAAAGAAAACAAGGCCTTTATGTTTAGCTAACTAGACTTTTTTTGTCTTTTACATTTCAAAAACACATCGGACTCCCCTCATATGCTAATAAAACGGGTGTTTTGACCCCTTTAAAGTTTTAAAGAGATGTCAGCTCGAAATTATTTATAGAACTTATAGCAACCATCTGTTTTATATATTTGTACTTGTATTGCCAAGCTCCCAAATGACTGTCATGTGATCTTAAATAAGAAATGCTTGTCTAGAGCAGTCTGTCTGTAGAAGAAGTCAGCATTTGCATGCGTTTAATCGCTCGCACACCAAGGCAAAGTGCCCGTCTGCATTAGCAAGCATGGTTCCTTATTTTAACCACTTGATTCTGTCATTATGTAAAAATGCATGACCGCAGAAGACACATGCTCCGTGTTGTACATTTTTTGCCCATGTTTGGTTCGGATGATCCCAGTTCGAAGAGTAATCCATCAGAATCCTGTCTCCCTTTCTAATCCCTGATAAAAAAATATGCATCCGAATATGCCTACTTCCATAATTTATAGTATGGCTTACTTAGTATGTGAGCCGAGTAGTATGTCCAAATTCATAGTATTCCTAAAACAGTACCCAGATGACGTCCTGTAACAGTGAGATTCTGAAGTGTGCATCTGATGGATACTTTACTATCCCATGAGGCACAACTGACGTCGTAGTTCACATGGCCGATGTAGTACGTCCAAATTTCATTCATACTACACACACGCATTTTTTTTTTTTTTTTACGTGAAGCAGATTTCAAACCAAATGTAGTACCTGTTTGATTTCAGACGCAGCAGTTAGCTCTATGCTAAGCTAATAGGCTAAGCTGTTGGCTTGCTAAATAGAAGTAACCGAAAACAGAGAAAGGGAATTAATATGACAGTTTTTTTTAGCTTCAATAATAAAATATATAAATTAAAAGGTATTAATTAACCTTTTAATGATTACGACAGTAAGGGACTTCTAACAAGGCAATGAATAAAGTACCCATAACAAGTTATCTCAGCTAAAGGAATAACTTTGTGGAGTAAGGGGGATAGGATTCTATGCGACACTCGCATTTGTCCAGTCTTCAGTGTCACATTATCCTTAATTCAGAATCATAATATGTTATTTTTTTCTCTAAATTCTTTGATTTAACAGAAAGTAAAAAAAAAAAAAAAGGATTTATTTGATCAAATTAGAAAACTGATTTTTGTAACAATGTAAAAGTTTTACGGACAATTATGATACGTTTAATGCATCATTACAAATGTTAATTTCTTTTTAAAAAATACTGACCCCAAACTTTTGAATGGTTGTGTATGCATATTATATATTACACATATTACACTTATGATTATTAATAATTGTTGTTGTTGTTATTATTGTGTAAGTTAAGTTGTATATTTTAAATTCTGTTACTGGTCACTATTTCTTTTCACGTTTTCACCATATTTAAATATTTTTTCTCAATACGTTATGTGTGATCATTTTTACATAAAATATAAATATTCCATATAGTCTCATAATATAAGGACATAAACTTCAATTATTATTAAAAAAAAGTTAAAATAGTTTTAGATAAATTGCAAAACTACTGTCACTTCTCTACATCCCATGTCAACTGCCCAGCTACTGATTTTTTTTTTTTTTTTTTTTGGGGATTATTTAAAAACATTACTGTCCCCAAACTGTTGCATGGTTCTGTATGTATATTCTATATTACACGCATTGCACTTATGACTAATAATAATTAGTAAGTTAAATTGTATATTTTAAATTCTGTTACTGGACACTATTTCTTTTCAAATGTTTAAATATAAATATTCCATATAGTCTCATAATATAAGGACATAAACTTCAATTATTATAAAAAAAAAAAAAAGTTTCAATAGTTTTAGATAAATTGCAAAACTACTGTCACTTCTCTACATCCCATGTCAACTGCCCAGCTACTGATTTTTTTTTTTTTTATTATGGGGAAGTTTTGCAGAATGCTGGAATATCATTTTATATTATATTACACTACATTACATTATATTGTATTAATGCAATAATAATAAATGACTTCCTGGTGTTCCAGAGCAGGGACTCGGCTGGTGTCTATGAATAACTTGTTATTCTCAGTCCGGTACTTGAAGTCTGCTAACTTGTTTCGTTTTGCAGGCTTCACCTCATGCTCTGTCATCTTTCGGGAGTTTCCGCACATGGCTTTACACGCCTCCAAAACACGAACCAGCTGTCCCGCTTAACCAGACGCCTTCAGAGACTCAAGCAGGACATGAAGGACTGCGATGAAGATTCTACTCATCTTAAAGAATAATATATTACAATATTTAAAGACGAGCTTGGGGATACTGATGGGTTTAACAACATAGATTGATTTGTTTTTAGATTTGGTCATCTCCTATGGCTCTGTATGGGATTTAAAGCTTTTATAGTTCTTTTATGTTGTTTTTAAAGGTTGACATCCCTTGTGTGAATTGAGCGGAGTTAAGCAGCTCTGATTCCCAGGATTTGGTTTACAGAATTTGCTTCCCGTAATTAAAGAGAGATTTATTCAGAATTCTTGGTATTTGTGCTATCTGTGAATAAAAAGTCTAATTCGCATGTAACCATTCTGTAATATATCTATGATGACAGTGACATCTAGTGAGCACAAGCTACACAAGAATGGATGAAATACTTGAATAATTATGTTCCTTGTTTTTTGAAAATGCTGGAGGGATAACTTCAACAACTGGAATATACATTGGCAGTGATTTTGGTTATAGAAATATTACTTTCTGCAACAACTTTGCGATTTCAATCATCCAAATTTAAGAAAACTTTCAAAATAATGATCAAGGAAAAATTTGTAACATTTGAATTTTTGATGATCACATTGCTTCAACTTTTACAATTAGTTATCATTTTTTGAAATTAGATCGTTCAATTCAATGTTTGGACCTTTCGATGCCCTTTTTTTAAAGACCCCATTCAATGGCTTAACAAGCCATTTCATTTTCTTTAAGTTGTCATATTTCATATTGAAACCGGAAGCTGGGGCAGGACATTTTGCTTATATAGTAAATGCTGCCTTGTTTTATAATAGGTAGGTCTCTCCCTCATTTGAGATTTTGCTTAAAGGTGCAGTAGATCTTGGAAAATGCTAACTTTAGCCTGATAGCACTGAAAGCGAACATCCCACCCTCCCTGCAATCGCCGTCCAAAGCCATGCCCCCTGAACGCATATACGCTCACAGACCAGAATACCAGAGACAACATTACTACAATAGGCTACATCAGCGGTTCCCAATTCCAGCCCATCGGACCGAGCGTTTTGATTGGACGAACATTTCTTGATCCTACGACTTCCACAGAATATATAAATACAGACAAATACATTTAGACCAATTAACTTAATGATTGCTATCGGGATGTGTAGAGACTTTCAACCAGCATAACAAAAAATGTTTCTGAAGACAATCACCTATTGCACCTTTAAATATTGGTTGGTTTATCTTTAAAAAAAAAACATTTTGGCAAAAAGAAAAAATAAACTTAAGACAATCAACAAATAAGTGACATTTTATGTTAAATCTTAATCATTTTGTTTTAATATGTAAATGTGTTGCATGTTAAAGATGGCATATTTTCATATGGCAAGCCTTCTATTAATAAGAAAGTAAAATGATAGCCTATGCCACTCCTTAAATTATTAAATCAAACGTGAAAGCAGACAGAAATGATGTTACCTTCATTTTCCCTTTCTCCTAAATCACTGCATAAACACTGACTGCAGGACTCGTGCATGTGCTGTTTATGTGACATGTCCAGTATTTACTGAAAGTCACAACGCAGACTCACACGTGAAACAGCCATTCACAGATATTATTCATCTGAGACAGGACACACACTCTTCACTTCACCTTCATCTGTTCTGAATTCACTCAAGCGGTATGTCATGTATTTAATATATGTGTGTGTTTACTGTATGTGTAATACTATACATTAGTATATATGTCATTATATTATTAGTAACACAAATTATAACAGCACATCCTGTCAAATTTATTGTAATTATTACAGGTATCGTGGTTGATTATTTTTCAGACGTAAGAATCAACTTTACTATATGCTTCTAAAGAAAGCTGTTTCTCTTTCATGATGATTTTAATATTAAATCAAACTTCGTTTCAGATGAGTGTGTGTGGTAACAGGAAGACGACTATGACAGCAACACGGCGTCTGAAGCAGGATTACCTCAGGATAAGGAAAGAGCCCGTGCCTTACATCTGTGCTGAACCTCTGCCATCTAATATACTGGAATGGTACAATTGAGTCTGAATTACACGAAATGTCAGGTCACTGTTTTTAGCACTGACATATAAATTAAAGTGCCCTTATTATGGGTAATGAAAGGTTCATATTTTGGTTTTGGGAGTCCCCAACAACAGGTTGACATGCATGCAAGGTCAAAAAACACTTTCATTGTCTTATATAATATGCATTTATTTTTACCTTATTTGCTCAACTACTACCAAATATTTCGCTCAACGATTCATTTTTCCAAACCCCTCCTTTGCGTGACGCTTATCTATTTGCTCTACTGTCTAGAGCAAACAAACAAAAATACATTTATATTGTGAAAGAAACCTTTTTTCTGAATTCATATCTTGAAATGTTTGTTGATGAAATCTTCCCCAGGCATTTTGTTGTTCGTGGACCAGAGAAAACCCTTTATGAGGGTAGGCGTGAATCCTTTCACTGGAGTTTCACTTGTGTTTCTATATATATTATAGGCCTATTATTTGCACTTCTTTCTTCTTCTTTTGTTAATTATGTGTTGTGATGTCTATCTAAGGTGGCTACTATCATGGCAAATTGAAATTTCCTCAAGAATTTCCTTTCAAGCCACCCAGTATTTATATGCTAACCCCTAATGGGAGATTCATGTGCGACACACGGTAAGGTCAATAACAGTGCATAAACATAAACATTCCCTGCGGCTCACTGTAACTCATTTCAAGTATGTGCTCCTGTTTGACCTTGCAGGCTGTGTCTGTCCATTAGTGATTTCCATCCTGACACATGGAATCCGGCCTGGTCCGTCTCTACCATACTCACCGCACTGCTGAGCTTCATGGTGGAAAACATTCCCACACTGGGAAGCATAGAGACGTCTGACTTCACCGTACGTACACTGAAAACATTCTGCTGAATGCATAGGCTGGATACGTTATAGAGCCCCTTGAGCAGGGGTGTCCAAACCTGTTCCTGGAGGGCCACTGTCCTGCAGAGTTTAGCTTATGCTAATTAAACACACCTGAAGCAGCTAATCAAGGTCTCAATGGACTGAATGGAAGTGTGCTGGAGCTAAACTGAGCAGGATTGGACGCCCCTGCTAGATAAGGATAAGAAGAAACATTCCCCCGGGAAACTTTGCTTTCTTTGTTAAAATGTGTATTCTTTAGCAAAACTAACCCGTTCAATGGAGAAAATTTGCATTCTCTAGCAATTCATTTGCGCGCTCTCGCAAAACTTTTCCGTTCCCCTGAGAAAATTTATGTTGCCTCATAAAGAAAGTTGTTCTATCACAAAAGTATTCCGTTCAACTGAGAAACTTTGTGTTCTTTTGCAACACATTTGCGTTCTTTTGCCAAACTAGAAAATTTGCGTTCTCTTGCAATACCCCTGTTGAAAAAAACACCATATGCTGGTTAGGTATGTTTTGACGCTGGGATGCTGGTTTAAGCTGGTCCTTTGCTGGTTTATGCTGGTCCTTTTGCTGGTTTACCAGCATCCCAGCGTCAAAACCAGCATATGCTGTTTTTTTCAACAGGGACATATACGCTCTCTTGCAAAACTTTTCCATTCCCTGAGAAAATGTATGTTGCCTCATAAAAATGTTGCGTTCCCCCGAGAAAATTTGTTCTATCACAAAAGTATTCCGTTCAACTGAGAAACGTTGTGTTCTTTTGCAAAAAAATTGCGTTCTCTCGCAAAACTTTTCCGTTCCCCTGAGAAAATTTGTTGCCTCATAAAGAAAGTTTGTTCTATCACAAAAGTATTCCGTTCAACTGAGAAACTTTGTGTTCTTTTGCAAAACATTTGCGTTCTTTTGCCAAACTAGAAAATTTGCGTTCTCTTGCAATACATTAGTACGGAGCCCGGGAAGTCACCTGTAGGAGAAAAAAAAAAACAATCCGTGGCGACGGTTTTGCAATCCGTCCCCTCAGTTTATAAAACGTACTCACTAATTCTTAAAATGTTCCCTCGGTTTAACAAATCTTGTTTTTTAAATAACTTTTTACAGTTTTAGAAATGTGTTTGTGTACTAGTCATTCTTAACATGACTTGTTTTGGTGATTTTATTATACTAAGCTTTTTCCCCCAGAGTTAGATGCATGCTTCACTGTTAAAGTTATTATTAAATAACTTAGGCCTATTATAACATTGCATTCAGTTAGAGAGCAAAGGAATGACAACATAACCGGTACATTATTGGTTTTGTATTGCTTTTTACCTTCTTCTCTCGAAACTCTATCGTTTTTTTTTTATTTTTTAGAAAATTTTCTATTCTTCTTTTTATTAGGCTATTATTATTTATTTTAGGCTATAAAACACAGGCGGCGGTGTTTTATCCTATTGGTGATTAATATAAAATAAACGCTAAAAAGAAGACTATTTTGTGAGTGCGGATCATGGTCTTATAGGCTACTATGAAAAATAATGTTTAATAAACACAATACTATGTATCCCGCACCGTGGTTGAATCTGCCGGTGGGGGCGGGGCCACAAATCCATGAGTTTACAAACCCGAGGGAACGGATTGCGAAAGCGTGCGCACGGATTATGAATTTGTGGGTACGGATTCAAAATCCGAAGGTACGGTTTACAAAATCTGAGCGCACGGATTGGAAATTCGTGGGTACGGTTTATTAATCCGTGGGCACGATTTGTTAAACCGAGGGAACAGTTTAAGAATTAGTGAGTACGGTTTATAAACTGAGGGGACGGATTGCAAAACCGTCGCCACGGATTGTTTTTTTTTTCTCCTACAGGTGACTTCCTGGGCTCCGTACATTTGCGCTCTCTCGCAAAACTTTTCCATTCCCTGAGAAAATGTATGTTGCCTCATAAAGAAACTTTGTTCTATCACAAAAGTATTCCGTTCAATTGAGAAACTTTGTGTTCTTTTGCAAAACATTTGCATTCTTTTGCCAAACTATTCCGTTCAACGGAGAAAATTTACGTTCTCTAACAATACATTTGCGCTCTCTCGCAAAACTTTTCCATTCCCCTGAGAAAATTATGTTGCCTCATAAAAAATGTTGCCTTCCCCCGAGAAAATTTGTTCTATCACAAAAGTATTCCCTTCAACTGAGAAACGTTGTGTTCTTTTGCAAAACATTTGCGTTCTTTTGCCAAACTATTCCGTTCCCTGTGAAACTTTGTATTTTTCAGAGAAACTGGCTTTCCATAGAAAAACAATCGTTCTCTCGCAAAACTATTCCATTCCCCAAGAAACTTTATATTCTCTCGCAAAAGTTTTACATTCCCCCTTTCGCTAAACATTAGCGTTCCCTCGCATTCGCTCACAAAAGCACTGAAATATAGCGTTTCCTTATGGGCTTACATTTCTGCCACATTTCTGCGCGCGAAAGATCATATTTTGAGCGCACAAAAGTGCATTTTGCACGCGCGCGATCTGAGTTTTGTGGAGAAAATGTTAGTTCGCGCGCAGAATTGTGGCAGAAATGTAAGCCCATATTTCCTCCCCTCATTATTTCCATCACAAAACGTTTTGCAGACAAAAACATTTCACTGTGGAAGGCAAAAGCACCATCATCATATCATTTTATTCCATAAGATTCCACATATTCATTAGTTATTATTCATATTTGTATTATTTTTTATTTGTGTCTGTCAGAAAAGACAGCTGTCTGCGCAGAGCTTGGCCTACAACCTGAAGGACAGAGTTTTCTGTGAGCTGTTTCCTGAGGTTGTGGAGGTAAATCTGACTCAAGAAATCTAAACAAAACGTGTCTTCATTTAGTTATACATACTAATGTTTTTCTCCTTTACAGGAGATCAAGGTGAAGCAAAGGACTCAGAAAGACTTCGGTGTTCCTCCTCATACCGCTCATGCGGCCCCTGCACGTCATCAGCCAAAGCCAAACCTCAGAGGAGCACTTGCAAACCTGTGTGTTATAGCTGGTCTGGTTGTCTGTGTCTACACAGTCAAGTTTGTGCTACATCATATAGGCCAGGACTGAAAACAGACTGACGTGACCTGAAAGCTCTTTCTGAGGCATCACTCTTCCTTTTAACCAAAGCGAACTTCTGTTCAGAACACTAAAAAAAACTTGACACAACCTTGTGGTATTGCAATGATAAAGCATGGTTTTCTGAAGTTCGTGACATTATGCTGGGTGAAAGCTACTTTGAAATGAAACCGGCAGTGTCTTCTCTACTGTGACACTTTTGTAATGTGGCCATGACAGACCAGTTAAACTGAACTGAAGAATTAACTGTCAACAGTGTTTCTGTTAAGCCCCTTATTATGCGTGTTACAGTTCGCTCTCATCCTGTTTATTTTTCTTTTTCAGATCCTTGCACTTTCTTAACAGTCATGACATCCCAAATTCTGCTTTCAAAATCATTTCCCAACACTTTTCCCAAAGTGTGTAGTTTTCCCCCCATAACTTAAATTAGTTATTTAATATGTAACTGTTGGAAAAGTAGTTAACCGTATGATTACAGGATTATTGTTTTTGCCTGTAAAAAACATTTAACTTCTATCTTTCCAATTCTGCAGGTTGTAACTTACTAGCACATCTGTATGGAGGACGAAACCTGCAAAAACAATAAATAAATACACAAATAAATAAATAAATGTGTGCATAAATACACGTATTCTTGTTTAAATACATAAATAAATAATTATATATGTGATGAAAGTAGGCAAATAAATAATATAAATTGGTGGGCAAATGGAAAATGTTTAAGGAAATGCTAAGCTCATCCTAACTATTTTCCTTTGATGACTCATTTATTTCTGAATGTAGTTCCACATTGTTTTCCCGCTGTGCAACATGCTAATGAGAGGGTGTCAATTATGCAAGAGCATTAGCAGTCATTTTAGTCACCCGAAAACCATGAAATTATCAAATGCATCTCTAATAAAAAAAAAATTCTCTAATAAAGACTTTTTTTTAGCACTGGTTATGTAAGTGGACTTCAAAGACATAGTTTAAACTCTCGTAAATTACATCCTCCAAACTAAAATGTCATTTCAGTCACACTTTATTTTAAGGTCCAATTCTTGCCATTAACAAACCATTGTACGACTTTTGCCTCAATAAACTCCTAATCTACTGTTTATTAATAGTTAGTAAGGTAGTTTAGGGGTAGGATTAGGGATGTAGAATATTGTCATGCAGAATATGTGCTTTAAGTTCTAATAAACAGCCAATATGTTATTAATAGGCATGCTAATAAGCAACTTTAATAGTGTGAATTGCTCCCTATTATAAGCAAGTCAACACAATAACAAAGTCAGGCAAGATTCTATTTAAATGAAGGTACTTTTAACACAAAGTTTGGACTGCTTAAAAAATAAGGGTATTTCTCAAGTCAGCCTGGGGCAATTTGTCACATGTGCTTTAATTGTACTTCATGTTTGTAATGAGAGAGAGATTATTAATGTTTTTATGCACAGGTGTTTTTTTTTTTTGTATACGCTATTTTTCTATCAGCATTTCCGTATTATTATATTATTATTATTATTATTTGAATGATAATGTTTGCACTATTAATATTAAATAACTGTGTTAATGATACCTTATAAAAATGCCATGCTTGTCTACTTTCTTCCATTTAAAGGGGTCATATGATGTTGCTAAAAATAACATTATTTTGTGAAATGTGTTTATGCGGTTTAAGGTTCAAAAAACACATTATTTTCCACATACTGTACATTATTGTTTCTCCTCTATGCCCCGCCTTTCTGAAACGCGTCGATTTTAAGCTGCTCACTAACAATGAAGGCCTAGAAACCAGATCCGAGGGATTTAAAGCTCTCCTCTGCCCCAGACAAGGATCAACAACACGCTCAGGTATTAATATAGCAATAAGCCTCCATAATATATACACCCGCAGAAGTGTCTTTAATTAAACTAATGTAGACATACAATGGGTTTGAATGGGTTTTTGTAAAGGAGGGTTGGATTTGTTGAGCTCTGGTCAATTTTTTCCAAAGATTAATTCTGAATTAGAATGCTTTTTTTATTTTGAATATTGCATTTAATATGTTGTATTGCAACACTAACGATAACGGTTCGTTACATAGTAGCTGACAGATTATACAATGTAGCAAATTTATGGCGTCTGCAGATTCGAGGACATCGGCAACAGTGTCACTCAGCTCAGTGATTGCGATATTAATGCTCATTTAAAGAAACAAACGCCGTGTTTTGCCGTTAATTTCGGCTTTTCTTATTTTGCTTCGTGACATTAGCACAGTTTTCTCGAAAAGGGTGGAGTCGTGTGGTGTTGTAAACATACAGCGGGTTGGTATCGCGTTAAAACTCGGATTATAATACAGTTTACGATCAGCAACTGTGTAGCTCGTAGGTAATGTTTGATATTTCGGTTGTGCTGGTGATTTGATGTTTTTTATTTGGTTTAAATGTTTTAGATATGATGTTCTGCTTGCAGTCGGTCTTTCTGTGCTTGTGTAAATCAGGGGTTTCAGCCATCGTTTTCAGGCAGAGAGACCCTCAATCCAGATTCTTGGCCGACTAAGAAACACGATCAGTTTTTAAAAACTGAAAATAATAGTAATAGTAAATTCAATTTTATTTTATTTGTCTGATCTGTCGTTGAAATCCCTGGGTGCATGTAATACAGTACATTCATACTTCAGATATGGGACGAAACAAGTGTTACGCTTTTACCTGCCTGTAGTTTTTCAACTAGAAATATTTCCACTATAAAATGATTCATATCATATAGAGATTATAAATAATTTAAAGATTTTAGTTTTCATTTCCATTATAAAATTATTAATATTGTATAGAGAGTGATTATAGATAATTTTTAGATGTATTCTTTTTCAAATAGCAATATTTCCACTATAAAATTATTCATATTATATAGAGAGTGATTATAGATCACAATGACAACATCCCGGATCAACTCTGTTCTTGTAACGTTACCGCAGTGTAAGATTAAATTAATTTACATTTAACCAGTTTAATATGGAGAGGCACTGAAATGTAGATCTTCGTTTGTGTTTTTGACCTACACTGTTCATGACTTGAGAACAGTTTGCTATTTATGCTTATACGTTAGCATTGACTCACTAATTTTAACGTTCATTTTAGCCAGAGATCCCTTGCTGAAGCACAAGATGACATCGAGGTTCTGCTTGAGTAGATGAAAATTGTAACTTAATGAGAGTATGACAATCAGAAAATGAAAATTTTCGTCTTCATTGGGATTGGGGTTGAATGCTTGGGGACATTATTGCTCTGTTTTGTTTGAGTTCAGGAAATGTAATAAAATAAATTCTATTGCCTATCCGCTGGGAATACCTGGAATCAGTGTACCCAGGCACATCGTTTTTCAAAAAAAAAATTTCGCATAAAAGCTTCGGATCTTTCTATGTTTCTCCATGGCGCTGAAACCAAAAGATCCGCTAGAGTTCCACTAACCGTGCAACTGTTACTCGACTGTCATTGGCTCATCTGCGTTTGAGGGGAAGGGCTTACTGATAGGTCAATTACGTTTGTAGTAACAATCAACACCAGAAAAACAACTTACTGAATTATTGAATTTGATATTAATCTCTGATCAACACGGCAGGATTTTCTCTCTAATGCTATCGCAAAATTTTACATACTATATGTGTGTGTTCTGTGTGTATATATTAGGGCTGTCAAAAAAAATTTGAATTGCGAATATTCGTCGAATTTAAAATCAAAATCCACATTTGAATGCAAAAACGTTGCATTCTAATTTTGTGGCGCACGAGATGCGATGATGATGTAAGTGTCATTGCATTTTAATGTTTTTGTTAGCCTATCCAGTTGAAGCCACTAGATTCGGCGCTGCTGCGTTGTTAATTACAAATATTGCGGGAAAAGAGAACAACAATGCGGAGAAGATTTCTAGAGGGACATCGATCACCGTTGCACTCGCATCTCGCACAAAAGAGACGCATGTTTAGAAAGCCATGTAAAATTAATGCAAGTTCAACTTTATTAAAAAAACATATCTCGAGACTTTATGGCAGGTTTTTTCCCCATCCCACTGCAACTCGTGTTTTTAAATGAAAAATGTACTCTGTGTGATTGGCTTTCAGCCCTTTTTTATTAAACTATACATGCATACATGATGCTGTTTTGTTTATAGTTGTTTAAGCAACTTAATTATAATTGGTTTATAAACATTATTTTAAACATTATGCACTTTTTTTTCACAGATAGTCATGTTATTTTATGCTTTGGATAAATGTGCATTAGTAATATTTTGCTCCATGTGCCCTCTTGTGGCCTCAAGAGAGAAGCCAAAAGCTTTTCTTCACCCTAACTGAAGTTATGCTTTTTAAATTTGAATATAATTCAAATTTTGATAATATTTATGTACAAAATTCGAATTGAGTTTTTCAGCCATTTTGACAGCCCTACTAGTCATTCTTAAAAGTGCTTTTGTGTTCTTTCTGTATTCAACAATGCCAAACTTATTTATCCAATATCTGCAGGCATGGCTTCACAGCTGCAGGTTTTCTCCCCTCCATCTGTGTCTTCCAGTGCCTTCTGCAGGGTGAAAAAAATTAAAGTGGAGAGCTGTGCTTGGGATGCTTCCAATGAAGCGTACAGTTCTGTGGGCCAGTACAGCTTCAACCCCGCAGCGGGCCTCCCTTTCGGCTCCTCGGGCCTGGTCTTCCCCCCAGCATCCCGGGGCCAGGTGGTGGTCCGTGCGGCAGACAGCACCGGGAGCATCCCGCGGGGGTCCAGCCGCAGAACCTCCCACAACACCCACCACTCGGAGTCGCACTCCTCCCGCGGGCACAGGTACGGCGTGAAGAGGAAGAATGAGGAGAGCTCCGGAGGAGGCGGAAGCGGCAGTGGCAGTGTTCAGATTCTGGAGGAGCTCTCGGCTCCTGCTTTCTCTGCGCGGACGGGAGGAGCGGGGACCACCGCCCAGTCCATCCCCCACTCGGCCCCCACCACCAAAAGCAGCAGCTCCAACGGGGAAGGGGACTACCAGCTGGTCCAGCACGAGATCCTCTGCTCCGTCGCCAACAGCTACGAAGTTCTTGAGTTTCTTGGCCGGGGCACGTTTGGGCAGGTGGCCAAGTGCTGGAAAAGAGGAACTAATGAGATTGTGGCCATCAAGATCCTGAAGAACCATCCGTCATATGCACGTCAGGGACAGATCGAGGTATGTCATGATGGGATCTACAGTATGTTTTTGGGTTATTGTTTTCCCATCTTGGGTTATTATCACCTGATCAAGATTTCCTGGTATTTCATTTCCGCCTAATTTTGCTGAAGAGACTGCAACTGGCATGCCTTTTTTACCTCTTAGGGCGTTCACACTTGGTGTCTTTTTTGACAAGAAAAACTGGACGAGCACTTTTTAAGTAAAAGCTGGCAACGTTTTGGTTACAAATAGCAGCCGAGGGCTTCTTTTGTTGCTATAACAGCAGCTGCAACAGTAGCCTAGTGCTGTGTGCTGCCGAAATGTCCAGTAGCCCCTCACTGCAGAAGATCCAGGGGGCGGGGTTGGATCCACATCTAGGGGGTGGAGATGGTAGGTTTAGGTATATGTAAGGTGGGAGGAGTTGGATCTGGATCCAACCTCGCCCCCTGGATCTTGTGTTCTGCAGTGAGGGCCATCTCGAAATGTCGAGAAGAGTGTAAAAAGTTGGCTCTTGCGTTGGCTTTTGAAGTCAATGGGGAGGAGAATGTTGGTTCACAACGATGTTTGTGAACATCGAGACATTATATGGGGAAGGAAGCAGTATGGTGCTTACAACAATTTAGTCTAGGAGCTCCGGTTGGATGATGCACGGTTTGTGGCATATTTGAGACTAGATAGTTTTGTGCTCCTATATAACTCCTTGTGCTCCGAAACTAGTACGCTCTATCTACTGGCTATGTTCTCAATTTTTCTAGTTTTTTTTGTTGTTGTTATGGAAATGACTCACTACTAGCTTGTCATTGGTCAGCTACCAAAAAGGCGCTTGATGTGGGGTGAGTTTTGTTTTTCAGAAAAGTTTAACTTTTTTCAACTTGAAAAGACGCTGCAGAAAAAGACGCTGGCGGCGGTGGTGTTTTAAAATGCGCTCAGGACTTTTTTTTTAAAACAATGTTTACTCCATAGGATTATAATGTAAAACGGATGCTGGCTGCTTCATAAAAGACGCTAAGTGTGAACATAGCCTAACTCCATGGGCCATATTGACTAAACAGGGCAAATTAGCGTTAGTGCGCAATTCCATAAAAGCGCACAAGGGAGGGGACAATTTTGCGTATGATTTACCAACAATGTGCACATTAAAGAACACAGACGCGGCCAGATCATTTCCATAATGACCAGCGCAATCTAGCAAGAGCAGCGTAAATTACCGCCTGCTTTAGGACATGCTTTTTTGGGCGTTAAATAATGGCACAAATACCAGTAATTTGACGAGCGCAAACGTTAGTAAATCGTGTTGTGTGATTCATTTTAATACTCTCCTCCCATAAATTTTGCGTCTGAAAGCGAAACTCATACAAATGTGTATTCAAAAAGTTGAGTCCCAAAAATATCCACGCCTTTTCAGCGCTAATTCTTCACTGTGCGTCTTTAGTCAATCCTGACAGTGCTATTTTAACGCCAAAAGACGGTTTGCGCTGGCGCAAGGTGTTAGTAAATCTGGCCCTAAAATGAAACTAAATATGAGTTTGCCGTGTTCCCCCTCAATCTAATAGGGTTAGTAAGTAAATTACATGATGCTCATTTTGTCATATCTATCTGTTAATTTATTCAGAGATATTACCATTTTAATTACATGCAGGGACGTGAATACACTTAATTTATTATGAGCCTGTTGTTTTAATTTTTTTGAATTAAATTCATTTTCAGATTGTATTTATTTGGACATGAATACAAAGACAAATACATTTCTAAGAACCTAAGAATTAAGAGTTTTCCTATTTACTTTATTTGTCATTGACCCCTAATATCTCTTCTAGGTCAGCATATTGAACCGGCTGAGTGCGGAGAACGCTGACGAGTTCAACTTTGTCCGCTCCTACGAGTGTTTCCAGCACAAGGGCCACACATGTTTGGTGTTTGAAATGCTCGAGCAGAACCTTTACGATTTCCTGAAGCACAGTAAGTTCAGCCCACTGCCCCTGAGGCACATCCGCCCCATCCTGCAGCAGGTGGCCACGGCCCTGATGAAGCTGAAGAGCCTGGGTCTCATCCACGCTGATCTGAAGCCTGAGAACATCATGCTTGTGGACCCCATCCGACAGCCCTACAGGGTAAAGGTCATCGACTTCGGGTCAGCCAGTCACGTCTCCAAAGCCGGCTGCTCAACTTACCTCCAGTCTCGCTACTACAGGTGAGCGATTATCTGTAATCTGTACATGCTTAATGATCACACATCCCTTCAGTAGAGATTACATCCCACAGTTATGAGATCATGTTGTTGTAATAATCACCCGATTGAATCCTAAACGTGTTTATAATTCGATTTATAATTCTATGTTTATACATAGAGCCTAAATGCATAGATTATGATATGCTTTCTATCCTCAGAGCCCCTGAGATCATCCTTGGTCTGCCGTTCTGTGAAGCCATTGACATGTGGTCACTGGGTTGTGTGATTGCAGAGCTCTTTCTGGGCTGGCCGTTATATCCAGGAGCTTCAGAATATGACCAGGTCACACATGTTATGTTACTGTTATTATCAGAAAAAATATTAGCTCTCAACCTTCTCAATTCTCTCTCAATTTTCATATAAAGAAGCTATGTTTTCTATACTTGTTTCCTTTTAAATTTGCGTCATGCACTGTACACGTACCCTCGTGTACACATAAAAACCAAAGTGTACTTTGGCCTTTAGTATTTGTGTCTCTGGCACTTCATGCTGGTGCTGTATGATGTATAAATATGGTGCCTTTCTGTGCAAATGAGGCTCATTGTAAAATGCGCTGTATTCATGTGGCTGGGTCACAGCAGTGTGCCAATATTGTACAGTCCCAGCAAAGTATGCCAGTCTAGGCATTTTTTGTGGATAATTTTAAAAATTGAAGTGCATAAGCTCAGATCAGTGAGGCCTGAAATCAGTAGGCTAATTTCCAAAAAGAAATTAAAAAACTGTTAATTGGAAAAAAAAACAAGTTTGAAACAAAAAGATTGAATCAGTTGTTATATCCTGTTTTTAGCAAACTCAGTAGGTTTAAAAGGTTAGTTCACCCAAAAATGAAAATTCTGTCATTAATTACTCACCCTCATGTCGTTTCAAACCCGTAAGACCTCCGTTCATCTTCGGAACACAAATCAAGATATTTTTGATGGAATCTGAGAGCTGTCTGACCCTGCATAGACAGCAACGCAACTGAAATGTTCCCAAGTTCAGAAACGTAGCAAGGAGATCGGTAAAATAATCCATGTGACATCAGGGGTTCATCCGCGATTATACGAAGCTACGAGAATACTTTATTCAACAATTCGTCTCCTCCGCATCACCCTGGTGCCATTTTGGAGAATTTCAGTTGGACGTAAACAATGTATGGAGGGTTAGACAGCTCTCAGATTCCATCAAAAATACCTTAATTTGTGTTCCGGAGATGAACGAAGGTCTTACGGTTTTTAAACGACATGAGGCTGAGTAATTAATGACAGAATTTTCATTTTGGGTGAACTAACCTTTTAAGTCCAATGGGATAACATTCGCTAGCGTTTGTGGAAAAGGAAAATCCTCAGGTCAATGACTGGAAACACAACATAAGGGTTCAGATAATACCTTGACAGATTGTACAACGTGACCTTAAGGAGCTAGACCAGGCAGCTTGTGCAGCATGTGCAGTCTTTCATGCCAAACTGTATGATAAATTGTAGCCATGATTCAGCATTGACAGCCGGTCGCACATCGGACACGTCATTCTGTACTCACGTTCTTAAGGCGGCAGTCCAAAACAGTGAGTCTAATCATCACCAAGACCATTAATTGGCCATCTGTGAACATGTCACACTAGGCAAGACTGAATGATTTTACCCTTCGGCATCAGAAATCCTTTATGATTGCAGAAATGTACACAAACTCCTCTAGTCTTTGTACTAACTTTGACCTTTCTTATTTCCCCCCTCCAGATTCGGTACATTTCTCAGACGCAGGGATTGCCTCCTGAGTATCTCTTGAGTGCTGGCACAAAGACAAGCCGCTTCTTCAACAGAGGACCAGACTCCAGCTACCCACTGTGGAGGTTAAAAGTCAGTACCCATACTTTTATGTTTTTTGGGGTTAAAAACACACATAAGTTTCTTATTTAAAAAAAGGTGGTTAATATTGTACCAGACTGACACTGATGTCTTTTTCTAGACCCCATCTGAGCATGAGGCAGAAATGGGCGTCAAGTCAAAAGAAGCGAGAAAATACATCTTCAATTGTTTGGATGACATGATGCAGGTAATTAGAAATACATGTATGTATAGGATGCAACATGTCATTAGTTTAAAATAAATTTTCTGACTCCATCGATTGGTTTCCAGGTCAATCTGCCTACTCATTTAGAAGGAACTGACATGTTGGCGGAGAAGACGGACCGTCGGGAGCTGATTGACCTGCTGAAGAGGATGTTGCGGCTGGACGTTGATAAAAGAATTACGCCCACAAAGATCCTGGCACATCCGTTTGTGACCATGAGCCACCTGCTGAACTTCCCACACAGCTCACAGTACGTCATTTTTAAGACATCTACCCTGTTTCAAATGAAAGAAACTTGCACTGACTGATCTTAAAGGGAGAGTTCACCCAAAAATGAAAATTCTGTCATTAATTACTCACCCTCATGTCGTTCCAAACCCGTAAGACCTTCGTTCGTCTTCGGAACACAAATTAAGATATTTTTGATTAAATCTGAGAGCTCTCTGACCCTCCATAGACAGCAAGGATATTACCACGATCAACGCACAGAAACATAGTAAGGACATCAGTAAAATAGTCCATGTGACATCAGGGGTTCAACCGTAATTTTACGAAGCTACAAGAATACTTTTTGTGCGAAAAGAAAACAATAATAACATAAATTATTCAGCAATTCTTCTCCCCGATTTTCCATCTTTCGCCATTTTGGAGAGTACCCCAGAACATAATCAGCGTTGTTTACATTCAGTAGACAGCGCCCGCATGCTGAACGTAAACAACGTGAGTAATTAATGATAGAATTTTCATTTTGGGTGAACTAACCCTTTAACATATATCAGTGCCTTTGTTTTGTCTCAAGATGCACACCAGTAATGTTTTCCCTAAGGCATGTTTATAAAAATTACTTGAATGTCCTAATTGAACTATGGCCTAATCCTGGCTTAGTCTAAACCCTGTCTGTGAAACCAGGCCCTAGACTTCCAGCACTGGTTAATTTGAAGAAATGTGTTATAAATTTGATGCTCATATCATTTTTGTAGTGTGAAGTCGTGCTTCCAGAACATGGACATCTGCAAGAGAAGGAACGGTAGCTTTGACAGTGGAAAAGCCCTGTTTGCTGCTAACGCTGTTCCTGGAACTGCAGGAAACCTGACTGTGACCTTCAGCAGCCAGCTGAACCAGCACAGCCAGGTGAGGGGAAAACCACCTGGTAAGCGCTTTCATAAGGATTTCCTTCAATCTTATCTGTGTTGGTAATTTTCTCAGGTTCCGTCTGCTGGTGGAGCTGTTCCTCTCCTCAACTACCAACCAGCACTTTACCAGCAGGCCACCATAAACATCCCAGGCCTGGCCCAACCAAGCATCCCCCTGCAGACCCGCCCCACTCAGCTGTGTGCTCAGACTGAACCTTTCCAGCAAACCCTCATCGTCTGTCCCCCCACCACTATCCAAGGTGAGCCGGAGCTGGGTGCATTGTGGGTGATTTATGTCCCTTCAATAAGCCATACTCCATCCAGTTGTAGCTAAATCACTGGTTCACTGTTTTTTTTTTTTTTTAAATATCCTGTCTCAGAAACGTCAATTAAAATGGCTTGCAAGCAGTAAATTTTGGGCTTAATTGGGATTGTATTTGTTGAAATGGTGGCAAAAATTAAGATACTCATTTCAGGGTGCATTCAGAGTTTTGAAAGTTTGAAAAATGCATGATTTTTAATCCCTGTTTTTTTTTTTTTTATTGTAATATTTTATTTATTTGTAAGGTTTGAACTGTGCTGGAATTTTGGATATTGTCCTTTTTTCTTAAAACATCTATTGTAGTGTAATTATTTTCCCTAAGGCATGTTTATAAAAATTACTTGAATGTCCTAATTGAACTATGGCCTAATCCTGGCTTAGTCTAAACCCTGTCTGTGAAACCAGGCCCTAGACTTCCAGCACTGGTTAATTTGAAGAAATGTGTTATAAATTTGATGCTCATATCATTTTTGTAGTGTGAAGTCGTGCTTCCAGAACATGGACATCTGCAAGAGAAGGAACGGTAGCTTTGACAGTGGAAAAGCCCTGTTTGCTGCTAACGCTGTTCCTGGAACTGCAGGAAACCTGACTGTGACCTTCAGCAGCCAGCTGAACCAGCACAGCCAGGTGAGGGGAAAACCACCTGGTAAGCGCTTTCATAAGGATTTCCTTCAATCTTATCTGTGTTGGTAATTTTCTCAGGTTCCGTCTGCTGGTGGAGCTGTTCCTCTCCTCAACTACCAACCAGCACTTTACCAGCAGGCCACCATAAACATCCCAGGCCTGGCCCAACCAAGCATCCCCCTGCAGACCCGCCCCACTCAGCTGTGTGCTCAGACTGAACCTTTCCAGCAAACCCTCATCGTCTGTCCCCCCACCACTATCCAAGGTGAGCCGGAGCTGGGTGCATTGTGGGTGATTTATGTCCCTTCAATAAGCCATACTCCATCCAGTTGTAGCTAAATCACTGGTTCACTGGTTTTATTTTTTTTTATTTTTTTTTTTATTTTTTTTTAAATATCCTGTCTCAGAAACGTCAATTAAAATGGCTTGCAAGCAGTAAATTTTGGGCTTAATTGGGATTGTATTTGTTGAAATGGTGGCAAAAATTAAGATACTCATTTCAGGGTGCATTCAGAGTTTTGAAAGTTTGAAAAATGCATGATTTTTAATCCCTGTTTTTTTTTTTTTTATTGTAATATTTTATTTATTTGTAAGGTTTGAACTGTGCTGGAATTTTGGATATTGTCCTTTTTTCTTAAAACATCTATTGTAGTGTAATTAAAATAATAAGAATGAAAAATAACCTTTATTAAGGATTGCATCATGGATCATTTGTGTATACAGTCTCCTGAAACACATAGAACTGATAAGTAACTTAAGAATTTAACTATTAAATACATAAAACAATGTGAACATACTTTATGGATTTAATTGTCACTTAATCTACCAGTGTCTTTGCTGCTTACTTTTGATAACTTAATCATACAGATCACCACAAATTACTTGGTTAAGCATTACATCTGTTTAATTTTGCTAAAATTCGAGTTTCTTTTCCTGCTTTCTTTTCTTTTGATCTCTGGAATGGTTGCGCCCTCTACTGTATGGCCATGAATTTGTATTTTGTTTAATTTGAGTCATTCAGAATTTTTTTGTTTGTTTTGCTATTAGTGCAAGATGTTTTACATTTGATTATTCATTTGATACATATGTAGGGCTTCCCCACCCTTGAAAAGCACTCTGAATATCTGTTTTTTTATTGTATTTTTTTATTTTTTGAAGGGCTTCAATCTTCTAATAAAACCTCTAGCTATCCTGTCCGGATGGAGAACGCTGTTCCTGTTGTCCAGCAGAACCAGTCCACGCAGCCTCTTCAGATTCAACCCAGCATGCTGACGCAGGTAAGACATAAAGCGCATTGTTTGTGAAACGGTGACATTATATCTAACGCTGACGTTCCGTCACTGCAATCTGACGAACTGCAAATTAATCCAGTTGAGTTGGAGAGGAAATGTCAGTCCTTAAAGTCTGCATGGACAGCTGTTCGGCTGCCGGTAAATGGCACGTGAGATCACAGCCTTGTACCCCTTGACCCGAGTCTGACCTTTTGTCTAATCTTTCCATGCTTTTTGCCCCTTTCCCTCCATGGTGCCCCTCCTCCATAGGGCTCCTGTACGCCTCTGATGGTGGCCACGCTGCACCCCCACACAGCGGGAGTGGCATCCCAGTACCCGCTGCCCCTGGCACTGGGCTGTGGGGCAGGAAGGCCTGCCCTGCTGGAGCAGACAGCCACAGTGCTGGTAAAGAGAGACCCACCCAGCGCTCTACCACTAACATCATCATTTCTCAGTCTCCCATTGACTCTCTCCCCCTCTTTGGCTCTTTCCAAAATCCTGCTTAAATGCATCTTTCTTTCTAACCCTACTCTTATTCTGGTCTCTCTATATTAATCATATCTTATTTCTTTCCGATTACTTTTTTATCTTTTTTTTTATCCCTCTTTTATATTTACTTGTCTCTTTTATGCTTTTTTTCTGGTCTCTCTGAAAATTCTGGATCCTATATGATCTCTTGTTGGTTTTTATTGCTCGCTTATTGATCTTTTTTTTTAATCTCTATTTTATCTTTTTTTTCCACCTCTCTTTGATAAATCTGGATCCTCTTTAATCTCTTGTTCATCTTCACTGATCTTTTGTTGATATTTTTTCATTGGCACTTTGATCTTTTCCCCCCAGATCTTTATTTGAGAATTCTGTATTCTAGTTGATCTCTTGTTGATTTTTACTAATATTTTGTTTGTTTATTTGTTTCATTGTTTTATTCTGTGACACTTTGATATTTTTTTCTCTGATCTGACTTTGATAATTCTGGATTCTCATTGATCTCTTGTTGTTTTTACTAATAGTTTGTTTATTTGTTTGTTTCATTCAATGGTACTTTGATCCTTTTTCCAGTCACCATCTTTTTTCTGATCTCACTTTTGTTTTGTTTTTTCTGGATTCTCATTCTCTTCTTTTTTTTTTTTCTTTTTTTTTAACTAATCTTTTTTTTGTTTTCAATGACACTCTTTTTTTTTCCAATCACCATTTTTTAAGTTCTGCATACTCTGTGAGATTTACTGATCTTTTGTATGTTTTTTATGACACTTTTTTCTTCTGATCTTTCTCTCTCTGTTTGATGCGTGTGATTTTCCTTTTTATAATTTCCCTCATTTTCCGAACTCTGTTTTTTATTTCTGACCACTTTATTTTTCTTTCTGAGTTTTCCTCTATTTCTTTGTCTTTCAGCTCTTCACTTTTTTTAATCTCCCTTTCCATCTTTCTGGTCTTTTCCTTCTCTCTCTCTCTCTCTCTCTCTGTATTTCCAGTCTTTCTGCTCGTTCTCCCTTTCTTTTCCCTCTCAGTCCCTCCCTCATCGTTCTTTCTCAGTGCAGGTTTGCTGCAGGCATGGGAGGCATGTGCTGACTCTTCTGTGCTTTGCTTGCAGCTTCTTGTTGTGTGAATATATTTTTTTTTTATATGCCTCCTTTGACCTTCCCACCCCTCCTCCTCCTCCTCCTCCTCCCAGCCCCACCGTCTGTTTGGCCCTCCTTCTTCTCTCAGGGGAGGAGACTGACCTTGTCTACAGCTCAAAAACACTCGCAGCCATGTTCCTCTCCCTCTCATAGCCATGTCTGTCCGCAGGTACTCTAGTGCTGCCCATACTGGCATGGCAGATCTTTTGGAAATGCTCAGTGTTTTCTGACTATTTAACAGCCATGATTCTTCCCAACAGGTTGCCGGACTACGCTTTCCTGCCCCCCATCTTTAATTTTTAAGGCTTGTGTGTGATTTATGCATGCTGTGCTTGTCTTGGCTTTTAAAATCATACAAAATGGCTGTGCTACATCTAAAGCTGCCTTATGCGCCGGGAGAGAATTGCAGATTTTTAGAATTGTTCAATTTTAATTGTGTGCAGTGATGTCACATCGGCATGTTAGTTGAATTTCCTCATCATCCTGGCATGACTCAAATGTTTAAATTCAGATTTAAATGGCCATAGATGTGTCAGTCATTGTGTGGTGCAGATTTGGTCATAGCTGTTTTTACCTACTATTCATTTGCCAGTGAAACATTGTTCAAATTTGATCGACATTCAGTGACTTTTCCATTTTCCTAAGTCCCAGTGTCACTCAGGCAGATATGTTGTCGTCCTCCAGCAGGCCTGGCCAGCGGGAACCCAGCAGATCCTCATACCCTCTGCATGGCAGCAGGTGCCTGGCATGACCATCCACAACTCCAGCCACCAGCCCGTAGTGACCGAATCGCCTCTGGAGACCCTGCTGTCTGAGAGCTCCACACAGCAGACGTCAAGCTGGAGGTAAATGTTTAGGAAGAATCGTGAACTTTTATTATCTGCACACAATGTCAGTATGATAGATGTTTGAATGTGCTCAATACCGATTGATGGGTTGTTTCCTGCAGGGCGTCTCAGAGCGGTCAGCACAATGGCGTTGTCCAGCAGAACCCACACATCCTTAGCGGCCTTAATCTCACTCATTCTCTCAGTCGAGGAACGTCTGCGGTCACACGGTCACAGAACAAGAGGAGCAGGATCTGTTGTGACACTGGCAGCAGGTATTGGGCCATTTACTTTTGACACTCAAATGTCAATGGTGTGTTTAGTATAGTTTGAAAAAAAAAAAAACATTTTTTTTGCTTGGAATGTGTGCTTGTACCATTTAAAAAAATAATAATAATAACATGATTTGACAAACTAATGTAAGGACATAGATTAAGTTTTCAATTGGTTTTTGTTCTGTTTCTGTATTCACAGCAGTGCTGTGGTGAGCTCTCAGTCATTCAGTGCTATTCTCACTCAGCCCATCATTATCTCTGACACCCCGAGTCCTGCTGTCAGCATCATCACCATACACAGTGACACTGAAGATGAGGACGAGAGGAAGTTCCACCCTGCTAGGTGAGTGAGGTCACTTCCTGGTATGATTGCCATGTTTTTACATACACAACAAAAAGTTTGTGGTAAGCAAGATTAAAAAAAAAATAATTATTACAAATAAATAAATAATAATACTTTCATTCAGCATGGATGCCAGAAATTGATCGACAAGACAATTCAGTAGTGTTTCAAAAGATTTACCTTTCATATATATGCTGTTCATTAAACTTTCTATTTATCAATGAATCCTGAAAAAAAAAAATCCAGTTTTCCACACAAATATGAAGCAGCTTAACTGTTTTCAACATTGATAATAATCAGAAATGTTTCCTGAGCAGCAAATCAGCATGTTCGAATGATTTCTGACGGATCATGTGACACTGAAGACTGGAAAATTCAACTTTGCAGCACAGGAATAAATTACATTTTAAAATGTATTAAAATAGAAAACAGTTATTTTAAATGATACAATATTTTGCAGTATTACTGTATTTTTACTGTAAATAAATGTAGCCTTGATCCGCACAAGAGACTTCTTTCAGAAATATCTTATCTTTTGAAGGTGTAAATACCTTTAAATTTCTGTGTTCTGTGATATGACGCTAGGTTTATTCAAATAAAGGGCTAAAATGCTCATGAAGTGACTCTCAGAGCAGTTTTGGAGATGTTGTTCATGTATTTATGTACTCCTATTGAGGCTGAGGCAGAGGCTGAAATCACTACGAGCGTCATGCCCGCTTCAGTATGTGTGTAGTAAACGAAACCGCTCATCTGCGCCATTCATTCACACAGAGACACGCAGAGCATGCAGGATTCATATTTAAATAGTCTTTTTACAGCTTATTATTTACAAATACTAGTCCATATCACAATATGATTTAAAGGGATAGTTCACCCAAAAATGAAAATTTGATGTTTATCTGCTTACCGCCAGGGCATCCAAGATGTAGGTGACTTTGTTTCTTCAGTAGAACACAAACAAAGATTTTTAACTCAAACCGTTGCAGTCTGTCAGTCTTATAATGGAAGTGGATGGGAATCACGAACATACACAAAATTAAACCCTGCGGCTCGTGACGATACATTGATGTGTAAAGACACGAAACGATCGGTCCGATCGGTCTGCTGAACAGTATTTATATCATTTTTTACCTCTGAT